GGTTTTAATTCCCCAGTAGAGGTCTTCAGAGTTTTCCTTATTTCCCAGGAAAGTCATGAAGGATTCTCATTACCCGCAGAAGTTGCCGAAGCTCTTGTTAAATCCTCACAAATCACCAAGGATTTTCAATCCCCAGTGGTGGTCCCAGGATTTCTCATTCTCAACAATCAAAGATCTTTAATCCCCAAGCAGTTGGCAAGGATTTCTCATCTTCAACGATCAAAGATTTTTGAGTCCTCAGCATCGGTCAGGATTTACTTTCTCCGGCAGTAGTCAAATATTTCATTATCTTCGACTATCAAGGATTTATTTTCCTCAGTAAGAAAACTACTCAGCTTACATGCATAACCATTACATTCATATATATATCATAAACATTGATGAAACACAATTCATTGCATCATACATATCATGCAACATAACTTTGTGTTTTAGCTAACATTTTACTCTTTTCAGGATAAGATTAAAAGGCTATCGTTAACAATTATTCAGATACAGTATGGATACACCCCAGACACAGCGGTCATTCTATTACTCATTCAGAATTCCAAGTCAAAATACAGACCCCATACACGATGGTCATTCTACTACTCATTCAGACTTCAGCAATCCGATACAGACGAGATACGCTCCAGACACGGCAACCATTCTATCTCTCATTCAGATTCAACTATCAACTTTAAGTTCAGATACGCTCCAAACACGGATGCCATTCTGGCCCTTACACCAGAAGTTTGATTCACCCCAGTGAAGTCGCCACAGAAGTCATTCTATCACTTATTCAGATCCCAGTTACAATTTCAGATACACTCCAGACCCGGAAGTCATTCTGCTACTCATACAGATCTCAATTTCAGATACAATCCAGATACGCTCCAAACACGGTTGTCATTCTTCCACTCATTCAGAACTTATCTCCAGCACCTAGATACTCCATACACATATGTTTCTCTATCCTCCATTCAAATACAGTTACAGCTCGGATACGCTCTAGACACAGACGCCATTCCCTTGCTCATACAAACCCAATTTCCAGATACAACTCATATACGTTTCAAATACGGATACCGTTCTGATGTTCATTCTACTGATTCTCAACAAACAAATCTTAGATGGCATCTTTAAGCCCATCTCCAGCAAGATTCTAATATCTCCAAATAGAATCTTTAAGCCCATTCCCCCAGATACATTTTTTACGAGTGCAAATTTACGGGCACTCTAGTGTCCAATCCTCTTTTACCTTCGAGTCACGAAAGGAAAACTTGCCAATCTAACTCTTCAGGTTCAAGAAGATTGAACAGGGGCAACTGTTATACCCCAAAATTTACCCTCTCATTTTATCAACATTTCTCATCATAAGGCTCTTGGAACTCAAGACCAGGCTAGGGTTTGCTCTGCTCAAGACACCTCCTTGCACCGTTGACCTAAATTAGGGTTTGAGTTTGCACAAGGATTTTTGGACCTTCAATGCTAAAATTGACTTTCATACATCATGTTGGACTCATAAGTTTGTCCATACTAAGTTTCAAGCCTTGAATCAAATTTTTGCCCAGTCAATTGGACAGTTGACCTAGAAATCAACTGTATTGGGGGAAAAGTCAACTGTGGCCAATTTACAGTCAAACCTCATGAATTTTGACCCACATCAACATTATGAACTCATATGAACCATTTGATCAAGTTTGAACCACAATTCCACAAGAAATTTGATCAGATCACCAAAAGGGCAAAATGGTTATTTTTAGGGTTTTGATTGTACAAAGGCAATTTTTTACTGTTTGACCTAGCCAGTGGCAAATCAAGTTCAACCATGGACTCAAGGACTCAATGAAATTATCTTGACCTATTCAACAAGTTCAAAAGACCTCAAATGCATAGGATTGACAGATGAATTTTTCAATCAACTGATCAAAATTTGACTTTACACTAAAAAGTCAAACTTTGACTTTTTGGTCAAAATCAAGTGCCTAAGGTCATTTTTCATCAAGATGTGTCAAATTATGAAACTTGTTCATCAAGAAACCCAAAATTACAAATTAGGGTTTGAAATTGAAAATTTTCATAACTAAGAATTTTTTTCTAAGTTATGAAATTTTCTTAATTTTTCCTAACTTTGTCCCACATTTTCACCAAGATGCAAATGGATTCAAACAAAACTTACAACATGAAAGTTGTATTCCATCACAAAGTCTACAACTTTTATTCATAAAGTTTTCTCAAAAGAAGCTTGGATCTCAATTTATGATTTTTGGAACAAGGGTCCCTAAAACTTTTAACTTAGAGAAATTTTGCCCTAGTTTAGGCAGGATTTTGACCCATCTTCTTGGCCATTTTTCACATAGTTACACTTGTAATCTCAAGTTGAATTTCAAAGATGGATTATAGTATATGTTTCAATATTTCCAAATTGTCAAAGAACTCCTCAAACACATTTGTGGTTAGGGAGAACCGAATGCTTGAAGTTGGCAAAAACTCACTTTGTAACCATGGCCAATACATGTTCATGCAAGTTGCAAAATCTGACCAAACTAGCTTTGTACTTAATTACAGGTCTCTAAACCCTTCAACACTCAAAAATTGAATGCAAACACATTGGTTAGAGGCTTTGTTCTGATCAAGGGAGCATTATACAATGAACAAATCCATTTTTGGCATAAAGGAGACACTTCCATTTACATAAAGCTTGCTTTATGTCAAATTCCATTTCTTGAGCCATACACCAAGCCCTTTGCTGCAAACAAGGCTCCCTAATGTCAGGCAAAGCTCAACCACTTTGTGCAGCTAGGGTACAAGCCAGTACAGCCATAGCATTGTCAACTCTCACTTTTTACTTCAAAACCAAGTAATTGTGCCAAAAGGACATAACTTGCATATCTGATATAATCAACTTAAGCCAACATTCCAAACAAGTTTTGAACATCCTTTGGAGCCAGAAACATGAGCCATTCATCCCTCAAACACCCTTGTACACAAAAACCACATTTTCTTGCAAAACAGGGCAGGCCCTGCAGTTTCACTTCCATCTTCACATTGCCTCGTGCGTTTTGCCCCAAACTTGTTCCAATACCTTCTATTCAACTCACTCAAACTATCCCAAACCTCCATTTCCAAATGTAACTCCATTTACAGTGTTTACCATTTTTGTTTTGAAGCTTTGCAGGTTGAGTTTTGTAGAGAGATTCAGACCATTTCAAAACAAACTAAGCATTGGGAAAGGTCCAAGGAACATCAAGCAAGCTCAAAAGAACCTCAAGACTCATTAAAAGTTGTTGCATTGCCCTACTCGAATCCAACTGAAACAAGTTTTTTCTCACTTCCTATCTCTCTATTTAGGAATATTTAGTCTTAGGTTTGTGAATGAAAGATGTAGTACTCATTGCCCTGAAGCTGTACATATGCTCAGTTTTCATTTATATTAAGCGTGCTAGGAGAATTTAATCCATGAACATGCTGAAAAAGTTAGGTTAGATTTTAGGGCCAGAGAAATTCTCTCTGGTCTTTGAGAGTTAGATTTAGTGTTTTATATGGTTGAAATCGTTGTTTAATGCTCTACAAGTTTCATGTTTTGAGTTTTGGCAAAAGATCACAAATACAGGAGATACGGATTTGAACACAGGGCATGTGCATTCTTTGTCACAAGGTCAGGGATGAAGTGGAAATGGGCTGGGCCTCTGAACTTTGTCCTACTTTTTAAACCCCAATGCTTGCTTTTTGCACCCCCTGGCCCAACTTCTTATATTTTTGCATTTTTGAATTTTTGTTTTGTTTTCTGACTTTGTTATTTTATTTTCAAACATAAAAAATACTTAAAAATATTTTCATAATTTTTTTACATTTATTAGGTATTTTATTTTGATTTTTCCAACATAAAAACAATTTAATGCCTTTTTATTTATTTGTTTAAATTTAAAAATAATGTAAATAATACTTTTATTTTTATTTCTTATTTTTATTCATACTGAAAATATTTTCTTGAA